CGTTAGCATGGTAGCGTTAGCATGGTAGCGTTAGCATGGTAGCGTTATGTGTTCTCCGCCATCGTCAATATCAACAAAATCAACAAGGCCCGAGCTAATTCAGAATAGGAACCACAATCTGATATCTCCAGTAAGACTGAGACAAATCCACATATTACTGGACTAACGTTACTAAGAACCTGCATCGAGGCTACAGCTAACATCATATGCGTTAGGTGTAGCCTGCGTTTATCACGGTTGACGATTACTTTTGCACAACACAGAGAAAAAGGCGAACGGCGAGTACGTTGATGATTTCGATTAAAAATAGAATTAAAAACGCTACAGTACAGTGTCTGTTTTAAACTGAACTAGCTGGGCACAATAGCTGGACGTTATTGTTCAACGTGAAAAGCTAGTTAGCTAGCACCTGCATGTTGCCCCCCACCTCAGCTTACTCCACCTATCTGTGGCAGACGTCCTGGTAGCGTGAACGTTAGCATGGTAGCGTTAGCATGGTAGCGTCAGCATGGTAGCGTTAGCATGGTAGCGTTAGCGTGCCGACGTGGGCACACCTCCCTGAAGAAGTGGGTGGATTGCCTGTGTCTCATTTGCATTTAAAGAGACAGGCACTCCAAAGCGAGCGCTCTGAACGGGGCTGTTTTGGGTTAGGGTTAGGGTTAGGGTTAGGGTTAGGCAGGGGGACTGAACTGCTATTGGGCTTCATCCTTATGGGATTTTGACCAAAGCTTGTCACAGACATTACATTAGGACACCAGGGAACTAGTTTAACCTGTTGAAATAGGGTATAATATGTCTCCTTTAAAAATGGCCGGCTCCTCCACGTTGCTTGAGCATGTGTCCGAATTTAGAAAAGAGTCATGAAGACAGATTCGTTTCGCTTTTTTCGATTTAAATGCATCGGACGCAGCTGGAAGTTCTTGTTTTTCCACACAGAAAAAGCCCAGAATATTCTGTTTGGAATAACATTAATACAACCACTGTTGGGAGACCTTGAGGTTCTCGTGAAAACCGTTGTGTCAGAATGATCCATTCAGCCACATATTCTCGGGAGGAATTAGAAAAAGAAAAAAAGAAAAAAGCATTTTGGCCCAGCAGATTCCACCTCTGCATCCGGAAATGTGGGCTGAATTTGTATTAGGCAGGATGGAGGCCATGCATCAGCCCTGTGCAGAGATCCTCTGCCCACAGGCTCATCTCAGAGTGACACAGAGACACCCAACACACTGTCCCACATCATTTAAGTCTGCGCAAGAAGGCGTTTTGTGTTCTTTTGTACAATTCTACCAATTTTTGTTTTTATGCACCTTTCAGATGCATGCAACAGACACCATTTACAGATAAAAAGACAAAAAAACTAGCAAAAACTAGCGGAACAGCTTGGAGAATGCCAAGTACTGAATGGAGGAAGAAGGAGAATAAGCCAAAGAAAAGCTGAAAAAGACATAGAACTGAAGAAAAAAGGCTGAAAGGAGGAATAATTTGAAAGATTTGAACCAGAGACCTCCAGATCTGCAGTCAAATGCTATACCACTGAGCTATACCACTGAGCTATAACACTGGGCTATACCACTGAGCTATACCACTGAGCTATACCACTGGGCTATACCACTGGGCTATACCACTGGGCTATACCACAGGCCAAAGGGTTGTATAGGAATACAGACGAAAATCTGGCATAAAAAGGGTAAATAGGTTTAAAAGATTTTAACACCATTAGTCATAGCTGCATAGTCCTACGATAGCCAAACATTTTGATACCTTATTTGTTGAAATAGGCTGAAAGGTGTAGGAGTAGTTAGATGCAGAAAAACGTACGGAATAAAGAATAATAAAGAGAAACCACAAAAAAAAACACAAAAAAAATTCTGAACATGTCTCCTAACAGTAAAGAAAAACATGTTTTAATCATACTTGTGTTGAACATTTTGATACCTTATTTGTTGAAATATGCCGAAAGGTGTAGGAGTAGTTAGATACAGAAAAACGTACGGAATAAAGAATAATAAAGAGAAACCACAAAAAAAACACAAAAAAATTCTGAACATGTCTCCTAACAGTAAAAGAAAACATGTTTTAATCATACTTGTGTTGTTACCATGAAGCAACACAGGTTCAGAGAGCTAATGGTGCCCTGTGTGGTGTTTAATCAGGTCTTTTAGTTTTTTTCTGTTTCTAATTTGAATTGTGACGCTTGTTTTGTTTATTATATGTTATTTTTTAACTAGGGACTACGGATGAAAATTAGCTTTGTAGCTACAATCCGGCACATTTTACATTTGTTTTCACTGATGTCCATTAATGTGCTTTGTCCCTATTCAAATTGTTAGGATTTGGTTATATATACACAGTTTAGCATAGTATGCTATCACATGATCTATGCATATTATTGATTGTTTCATTTTATATTATACCTATAGTTTGTATTGAAGTTTCTGGCTGTAACCACAGATTCTCTTTGCTCTCTCTTGTCTTTCTCTCTTTTCCTTTCTCTCTTTTCCTGTTGCATTAGATTAGATTAGAAGAGCCCAGCGCTGAAATACTTTACCTGTGACCCAATAAATGTCAAATTTTTACTCTTGATCGACTCTGGTTTATTCTCAGGTTTCCAACTAAAGAATCGGGCTAACAAAATAAATAAATAAATAAATAAATAAATAAATCTTGCGACCGCCTGGTTCCCGTCTGGGTTGTGGGCAGCCATTTTTATCTGGGTCTCCATCCTCCCGGAGACCCGTTTTTTTCTTTGGCCAGATATCTTTGTTGGTGGCGGTTTCATCCCTGTTGTTTCTCTGTGACTAACCGCAGCACCCACTCATCACCACCTCTGCTCTCGCTGTGTGAATGATAGGCTGGAGTTGATTTCGGAGTGGACCTGTGTTCTCACCGCCAGCTGCTCTCCGCGGTGGAAAATCTGGCTTTTTTTCTGTCGACCATAGTTCCACCGTTTGGATAATTCCTGCCAAACCCTTTGATTCGTCTGTTTTTTAAGAATCAGAATCAGAATCAGAAATACTTTAATAATCCCAGAGGGAAATTATTTTTGTTACAGACTCCATAAGCAAAACAAAGGCATATACATATATACATGTCTATACATATATACATATATATATTTTGGAGAGTGTTTCCCGTCATTTTGTTGTCAAATATCGGCACCATTTCTCCTTTGAGTAATCTATGAATCTGGAATGTAGAATTGTTGTATCTCCTCTGTGATTTCATCCACCTTCAACTTGCGCGTTAGTAACACAACTTTCACACTTAATTTCTTTGTTAATGAGGAGGAGGAGGATCAGGCTGTGATGATTAGCGCTGTCCTCGCAGCGGGAAGCTAACGCTTGTTAATAAAGATAATAACGATACAAACAAAATTAGCATCCATCCATTATCTTTACCGCTTATCCCCTAATGGGGTCGGGGGGGCGGGGCCTATCCCAGTAGCCAACGGGGAGAGGCGGGGTCACCCTGGACGGTCCCCAGTCCATCACAGGGACACACAGAGACACACAAGGACCAACAACCACACACACTCACACTAAGGGCAGTTTGGAGTCCAACAACCTAACATGCAGGTTTTTGGACGGTGGGAG